ACGGGGGCGTGGACGGGGGCGTGGACGGGGGCGTGGACGGGGGCGTGTCCTCCGGCTGGGCTGTGAGGGGAGAAATCTGAGAGAACAAGAGGCCACTGATGCTCTGGGCCGCAGGAACTGGGGTCCGCAGGGCTCAGCTCATTCCCAGAGTGATGGGACACCAGGGACCTCAGTCGCTAGAAAGGCTGCCAAGGGCCTCCCGGGCACCGGGCCCAGGGCCAGGCGCACAGGAAGCCGCTGTGAGCAGGACGGCAGCCCCCTGCCCCAGCAGGTGTCACTGGGAACTGGCTGAGCCTTCCTGTCCCTGGTTCTGGGACGAGCTGGGCTTAGCGCAGGGGTCCCTTGACGGGCCACCGGGCTTTGGGGCCTGGCCTAGGCAGCTGGGGGGAAGGGCTGAGATGCAGGGTGGGGCCCCGGTGGCTGCCCTGAGGGGACCAGGGGGGTTGGGCTGCTCTGGCTGTGAAAGGCCAGTCCCCCAAAGTGTGCCACCTGTTTCCTGGACACCCACGGTGGCCGCAGGCCCTGGCAGCGTCCCCTCCCGCAGGACAAGCTGCTGGAGAGCCTGGACCACAAGGTGCTGGACGTGTACAGGCGCTGCGTGGGCGGCCCGCAGGAGGCGAACCTGGGCACCGTGCAGATGCTCACCACCATCGAGCACCAGCTGGAGGAGCTGCTGGAGAGCCTGGAGCGCATGCCGGCCTCCTGGGTGGAGCAGATCGAGAAGGCCCAGGAGAAGGAGCGCCACCGGAGGTGAGAGGAACGACAGGGGTCAGGGGCCTGCGGCCATCGGGAGGGCGGGCGGGGAGGAGCGCCAGGGGTCAGGGGACTGCGGGAAGGACCTGTCGAGAAGAGGCGAAGGTGGAGGGTGTGGCCCTCGGGGACACAGGGGCGTCAGGGAAGGGTCCCAGGCAGGGACAGACGCGGAGGGCAGGATTTGGCTGGACTCTTTCCCCGGGGTGGGTGGGAGGGGCGGCAGGTGGGCACCTGGGGACCCAGTTCAGGCCGGGCGGCAGGGTGGGCGGGGCCAGCTCTCTGACAGGCTCCCTGGGGACCAGGTGAGATGAGAAGCCACCAGGCCATCTGGCCCGTGCACTGCCCGGGTCATCGTCCACCTCATGCCGGTCCCCGGGACGGTCCTCCTTCAGGGCCCACCTGCCTCCCACAAGCAAGGGGGCTTCCCCTCCCGGTCTCCAGCACCCAGCTTAGAGGGGGTGGCGGGCAAAGGTTTGGTGAAAGTAACCAGCACTGCCCCACGGGCACGCAGATGTGGCTCCAGGGCCACAGGCAGGTGTCCGCTCTGAAGCTCTGACCGCCCCGGCCACGCCCACCCGGCGCTGGGCGCTCTGGGTGGGCGTGGCCTGGCCCGAGGCCGGGCGGAGGGGCGCTGCGGAGCTGGGGCCTCCGGCCACCGCTGGCCCTGCCGTCGCCCGTTTGCAGGCTCCGGGAGGAGAAGGCCATGATGCAGAGGATGCTGCAGGAGGAGCGTCTGCAGCGGGCTCGGGCCCGGGCCCAGGCGGCGGTCAAGAGGAAGGTAGGCGGCGGGCCGCGGCGAGCCCAGGGAGAGCCTGTTCGTGCCTGCCGCTGGGGCCTCGGAGGGCGGGCTGCTGCTGGTGGCCGCCAGGCAGGCGGGACGGAGCCTCTGCGGCCAGGCGTCACTTCGGAGGCTGCCCCCTCCCCGGGCTGCCCTTCTGAGGTCCCGGTGGGGGCTCCTTCCTGGACACACAGTCCTGGGTGCAGACTGGCCCGCAGCCCCTGCCTCCCGCCCCGCGCAGGCGCGCACCCCACTGAGCTCCCAGGGCAGCCACCCGCCTTTCGGCGCCGGCGGCAGCCGGGTCCTGAGCCGAGGGGAGCCGCCGCCGTCGCCAGGCCCAGCAGCAGGCAGGGGCGGGGCCTCCCGTGCCCAGGGCGGGACCGACGGGGTGGGCGGAGCGGACGGGGGTAGGCGGGGTCTCCCGTGCCCAAGGCGGGGCAGATGTGGGTGGGCGGGGCCTCCGATGTCCATTGCGATGGGACGGGGTGGGCGGGGCCTCCCTGCCCAGGGCGGGGCGGGCTGGAGCAGGGGACCTCAGGCGCACAGGACAGGCAGGTGCGTCAGAAGCGCCCCGGGGCCGGCCGGGCAGAGGCGCGCTCACCGAGCTCCCCCCTTGCAGCGGGGCCGCAAGCTGGTGTGCCGGTCGCGGCCCCCGGCCCCCAGGGTGAAGGAGGATCCCGAGCACCCGGTGGTGGACAAGGAAGAGGAGGAGCTGCTCTTCTTCTTCACTTAGCGGAGCGGGAGGTCGCAGCGACCAGGGGCCGGGCGCAGGGTCCGCGGGCCGGACTCTGTGGCTTCTTGGTCGCACCAATAAAGCCACGTATTGTTTTTCTGTGGGTGTTGATGGCCTGTCCCTGTCACTGACCCCAGCGCGCGCCATCGGGGACCCGCCCGGTTTTCAGTCTGGCAACTCCTTGGAGCCCCGCCGCCGGGTGGCGCAGGGGGACGAGGCCCCCGGAGGGTGAAGGGGGACCTGAATCAAGCTGGGGACAGACCTTTGGTGCACGACAATACAAAAACCTTTATTCACTTGCACTCCGAGGTGGCGGTCGCCAGGCAGGCAGCCTCGGTGACCAGCGCTCCGCCAGCCAGTTTTAACCCCTCGGTGGTGACGCCCAGTGGGAGACGCAGGGGCTCACCCGAGAGGGGCTCCCCATTACGGGAGGCCCCTGGAGGACAGGTGGGCACAGATGACCCCAGAACGTGGCCTGTCAGCAGCACAGGGACCTGAGGAGAGGAGTGGCTCCCAAATGGCCTCAGTTCCTTTCCGGAGGGACAGCAGACAGAGGAGGCTCGGCACACTTGGCCTCCCCCTCCGGAGGCCAAAGTCCCCAAATTAGAGAAAAACAGGAACAGAGGGAGCGCTGAGTGGCAGGATGCCTAGGTGGGACCCGCAGCCGCATCGGGGTCAACTTCAAAGGCACCAGGGGGAAGGGACGCATTCTGGGGGTCCTGTGTCCAGGTACTGACCAGCTGGTGTGTGCCAAGTGATGGACATCTCCTCCCAGGGGACACCCCCTGGGGAAAGGGCAGTGGGCGCAGTGTGGGTACACCGGCCACCTGTACCATAAGAGCCATCTGTGTGCCACTGTCACGGTCCCTCACATTAGTCCCAGCACTCAGGAGATGGCATTAGGCACCGTGGTCACTTACTATTTAACAATAGCCAAACGTGGAGCTTAGAGACGGCATCTGAAAAGGTTTTTTTTCTTTTTTCTTTTTTTTAACTTTCGCATCCAAATGTGCAGCTCCCCATTGGCTGGACCCAGGTCCCAGGGCGTCCCTGGTCACCTTCCTCCCAAACTCGCTGTCTCTGTCTTGCTGGAACACGGACTGGGGTCTGGCTTCACCCTGGGGCTAAGATTGGCAAGATGGGCCCACTGTGACCACCATCCCAAGCACTGAGAAGTGGCCTGTCACAGAAGATGGGATTTCTAGATCTTTCCTGGGCACACACGATGTAAAATAAAACACTGGTGGTGGGAGAGCCCCGGGGACAGGGTTGTCCTGGAGCAGGACCTGACTCTGCCCTACTTCCTATATAGATCTTTTTTTTTTTCCTTTTGATGCAACAATTACAAACTGAGATCCACTGGGACCTGGGAACGGCAGCCACACACACCGGGCACCGCCCGAGAGGGCGCCTCCCCGTCAGGACAGTGTCAAAAAGTTCGGCCCAGATGGTTCCTGATGGAAATCAAAGTTTTTGATAAATGGACCCAAAGTCTCTGAAGAACGAGGCGAGGCTTCTGGGTGGACACCAAGGGGGGCCTCTGAGCCCCTGGTACCATGTCATCGGTGTCACCTGGGGAAGCGCAGCCTGGACGTGCTCCAGAGGGCGGGTGTCACTGCAGGTCCCTGAGGTTGATGGTGCTTCCTGGTGCCTGTGCAGCCGCTGGCCCGGCAGTGCCTCCGGGGTCCGTAGGGACCTCCTGCCAAGGCAAGGGAAGGGTGGGTGGAGAGGGATAGCAGTGCAGGGCGGGAGATCCCAGCCGCCTGTCACAGCAAGGTACAGGCCCCCAGGGAGCCAGAGGCAGTAAGGCACCCGACTCTCCTTCAAGGACAACATGCTCTCTCCTTGCACCAAACCCAGGCTTCACATACACACCCGGGGCTCTGCCCGAGCCCAGCCCCTCTTATTTTGAGAGGTTCTCACTAAGTTGCTGAGGCTGGCCTCCAACTCACAATCCTCTAGCCTGAGCCTCCCAAGCTGCTGAGATTACTGGTGTGTGCCCCTCTGCCCAACTAACCCGCTTCTTTAATATCTGAGCTCTGTGCTCCTTCTTACAAAGACCAGATCACCTTGGGTTAGCTGTGGAACCCGCTCCCCACTTCGCCCGTGGGACACAGCCCTGCTCCCAAGGTAGCAGACGTCCATGTCAACAGTGGCTGAGCAGGACAGCGGCCCCGCTGCACCAGTGCCCATCTAAGTCACCTCCCCTGTATAGGAAACGTCCAGACTGTGTCACCATCAGGGGGTGCGGGGAATACCTCGGGCTCATCATCAGCTCCCTACCTGACTTCCTTAAGAACGGTCTAATAGGCTTCGTGAACAGGAGAGACATTATTTGAATTATTTTTGGTTCCGGGAATTGAACCCAGGGGCTCTTAACCCCTGAGCCCCGTCCCCAGACCTAATTTGCATTTCATTTAGAGACAGCGTCTCACTGAGTTGCTTAGGGCCTCACTAAGTTGCTGAGGCTGGCCTCCAACTTTTGATCCTCCTGCCTCAGCCTCCCCAGCTGCTGGGACGACAGGCGTGGGTCACCGCACGCAGCTAGGATAGACACTTTTTGAGGTTTTCTGACATGCTACCAAGCTGTGCCCTGAAGTGGCCCCTCCACCTGTCTTTGTAGGCTCCTGCAAGTGCTTTACTGATTGAACCCAGATTGTTGGGAACTTGACCAGCTACCGTCTTCCACTGTGTCACATCCAGATCCGAGTCACCCACAGCTCCTGACCCCAGCCACTTGCCCAAATGACTAGTGAATGGGTCCGGGTTAAACAGTGGCCGGCTTGCTTCTCTCAGGAGAAAGTAACTGGAGTTTAGTATAAAATAGTTCCCAGGTACATTCAATGTCACCTTGTCTGTAGGAGAGTGACAAGGAACAGCAGCTCTGGGCTTCCGGGTCGCCCTGTTACTGGCTCACCCGCAGTCTCAATGGCGGGCCCAGCTCAGTAGCTCCTGTGCACCATGAGACCGCTCCTGCGAGTTCAAAGCTGGAGGACACTGTTAATTAATAAGAGAATAATAATAGCCAGGCGCAGGAGGCTGAGGCAGGAGGATCGAGAGTTGGAGGCCAGCCTCAGCCACTCAGCAAGGCCCTAAGCAACTCAGAGAGACCCTGTCTCTAAATAAAATATAAAAAGGGCTGGGGACAGGGCTCGGGGGTTGAGGGCCCCTGGGGTCAATCCCCACCCCCAATAACAATAATGATAATAATAAATAAGGACTTCAACCTGGAGGACGTAGACAGGCAAATCCAGGGTGAAGCAGGGATAGAAGGCCGAGGGCTGGGGACTGAGGGCCAGAGGCAGGACTCCTTCACCCGAGGGATCATCCTGGGGAGGTAACCACCAGCAGGGCCCGTCAGCTGTCTGTCCAGCAGCTCCCACAGGCCCTCACTGTGAGGCCCAGGAGAGCCCGCCCGCCTCAAGGAGGCCCAGGGACCCAGCAGTGACTTGTACTGGGCCGGGGGCTGCGGCCCCTCCTGGCCCTCACTGTCCCAGCCCGGTCCTAGCTCAAGGCGCAGCAGAGGAAGCGGGGCCTGGAACCTCCTGCCTGGCTCCTCCGCTCCCAGGTCACGCAGACCAAAGTCCTCCCCTCCGACCCAAGGCCAGCTTGCCTCCGGGAGGTGGGTCCTGATACCTTCTTAGGCCAGATGGAGGGGACACGCTGCGTGGCCTCGAAATGGAAGGGCCAGAGCAGAGGGAGGTGCTGCCCGAGAGAGCAGGCCGCTGGGTCACTCTGGTCCAGTTCAGGAAGGGGACACTGTGCCCTTCACCTGTCTCGTGTGTGCACCCAGCCCGTGGCCGGCCACAATCCCAACACTGGCCTTCTGTCCTGCTCCACCCCCATGTCCAACTGCCTCGGGGACTTCCCGTGTGTCAGTCACCGAGTGCTGATTCCCAGTGTACAGGCAACAAAATGGGACCCTGTGCTTTGGGGACTGGCCTGGGACTGTACTAGGTGACAAAGGACAGGGAAGGTCCAGACCCAGGTCTCCCTGACCTCAAGGCTCAGAGCTTTGATGGAGCATCCTTTAAAAACCAAGGAAACAAAGCAAAAAGGTCCTCCCAGCTGCCCCCCTCACAGCCCACAGCAGGGCCCTCCCGCCATCGCCCCATTTTAGAGGCCCGGCCTCTGCCTTTGCCACCTGATCTTTCCCTGGAGATTGAACCCAGGGGCCCTAAACCCCTGAGCCCCGTCCCCAGCCGTGTTCTGTATTATTTAGAGACAGGGTCTCGCTCAGTTGCTGAGGGCCTTGCTAAGTGGCTGAGGCTGGCCTCCACCTGGCGATCCTCCTGCCTCAGCCTCCTGAGGCACTGGGATGGCAGGCGTGTGCCCCGTGCCCGGCCGCCGCCCCCAGTTACCCCGAAGCCCCGGCCAGTCCCTTGGGAGCCTAGCGCCCCCACAGCGGTGACCCTCACCCTGCAGGGGCCTGCCCAGCACTATGGTGTCAGTAGCAATCTGCTGCCAAACTTGCCCTGCGGCGTCTGCCCGGTGCCTGTCTGTGCCTGCTCTAGGGTCACCTACGCCCCACAGTGACGCTCCTGTCAAGAGGTGCATGGGACAGGCCGGGCCATAGCCAGGGGCCGCAGCTCCTCAGCCTCTTCCTCGTATCCCAGCCCCCAGACATGAGTCGGGAAGAGCAGGTGTTCAAAGGCCTGCTGAAGTGACGGCTCTGTGGGTGCACAGGGATGGGTGTCATTTGGAAGTCCCTGCTAGGCTCCCGAGGGGTGGCTGGGCCTGTCCTGCCGGGGTTCAAGTGGGGTAGGAAAAAAAATGGGAAAAAACAGCCCAATGTGCTGGCCCATGCCTGTCATCCCAGCAGCTCAGGAGGCTGAGGCAGGAGGATCGCAAGGTGGAGGCCAGCCTCAGCCACTTAGCGGGGTCCTAAGCAGCTCAGTGAGACCCTGTCTCTAAATAGAATACAGAATAGGGCTGGGGTCGGGGCTCAGGGGTCGAGGGCCCCTGGTTCAGTCCCCAGCCCCCTCTCCCCACAAAGGGGGAAGACAAAAGGCGTCATCTGCTGGAGTGACGAGCCATCCTAGGGCGGGGGCTGGTGTGGCTCAAGGACCCCCCAGCCCTGCAGGTACAATGGCACGTGGCCAGAGGGCCGGCAGCCACAGGCACCCTACGGCCAGCCCGGGCAGCCTCCAACACTGCACCCCTCAGCAGGGCAGGGAGACGGCCACCCAACTGGGCACAGACCGTCAGGGCAACTGGACGCAGGGGACGCAGGGCCACAAACCTGGTGCGCCAGTCCTGACCGAGGTAAGAGCTTGCAGAGGTGCAGGGAGACAGGCTGGGGAGAGAGAAGTGGGGTTACTGGGGACTGGGATGTGACTCGGGCCTGGGCCGACTAGCAGGGGCGGGCGGTGGTGGCCACAGTGGTCAGGGTGCAGACGTGGTACCGGCCCCCCGCCCAGCCTGTCCCCAGACTGGCATGTTCTGGGGGCTCAGTGGCGCCTGTCCTACCTGCAGGACTGGAACCTGGACGCACTGGAGCCCAGCTGTCAGAGCGGATCCTGGCAGACCTCCGAGGGGCCTGGAGAGGCTCCCACGCGGGCAGCTGCTTTGGCCTCCCTGGAGGCAGGGAGGCCCACACTGGCCATCTCTGAGTTTCCTCTGAGTGGATTTGGGGGCTCCTGAAACGAGAGATGGGACCCAGCAGATCCAATCGGCCATCCATCAGTGGCTCTTGGCCCCACTGAGGTGGCACTGGGGACAGTCTTTCCATGGACAGTCAGTCTGCAGCACCCGAGGGACCTGATATCCCCCACAGGAATAGCCCCAGGTAGGCCGGCCAGGGGCCAAGGCCTCGGGTCACAGGCACGGTGCCACATGCTACTGTCCCACCCATGCACTGGCCACCACTTTCCTCCTCGGCCTCTGAGGCCCGTCTCTTTGAAGGGCAAAGGGTACCAGGGCGACGGTGGGCAGGGCCCTTCGCAGGGAGATGTCAGACCACTACATCTGCTGGGGTGTTTTGGGGGCGCTGGGGTACCAGGGATTGAACCAGGGGACCTTGACCCCTGAGCCGCGTCCCCAGCCCTATTTGTATTTTATTTAGAGACAGGGCCTCACTGAGTTGCTTAGGGCCTCGCTTTGGCTGAGGCTGGCCTCCACCTTGCGATCCTCCTGCCTCAGCCTCCTGAGTTGCTGAGATGACAGGTGTGCAGTTTCTAACTGCTCTGCGTCTAGCTTCTCTTTTCTAATTGCTTTTTTCACTTTCAGACAGAAGAACAGGGCTGAGCCACGGCAAGATGGACACGCAGGGCCTCTTTAATAGCAAGAACTGTCACCTCAGCTCCTGGGGCCTTGCGTCTCTATACTATCCCATCCGGCTTCGGAACTGTTCATAGCTGCACTTTATGCTTTAAAATCTCTTGATCACCCAAGCACGTTTTCTTGTAAGCAAAAAAGGGACACAGTAGAACTTTTACGAGAACCTGTCTTGAAATGGAAAAAAAATAAAATAAAAAGAGCTGGGGATGTGGCTCAGTGGTTCAGCACCTTTGGGTTCAATCCCTGGTTTAAAAAAAAAATCAACACATCAAGGGTGGGAAGGACTTTGTCCCCCGTTAGTTCATGTTCCTTTCTGTGTTTTAATATTGCTACAATGAGACCCGGTCTGCGTATGTTTCTGTCAATTAAACTATTTTGTAAGTCAAATTCTCAGGTGGTTTAATATAATGTCATGATACCTCTGCTGCAGATCGAGTGTCTCAATTTTGGGGAAATGTCTGTCAGGAGTCTCAAGTAGCAAGGCCAGCCTCCGAAGGGTAAGGTAGGTTCATCTTCTGATTATTTTTTAATTCAAGTAAATATACTGAATCGTATTTCAAGGCATATTAGAGAAAACACTGTAGAGTCAAGAAAGGTTTCGTCCAACTACAAAGTACCTTTTACATTGCTTTTAAAAGCAGACAGGATTGAAGGGATGTCTACATGACATTCACTGTTTAGTTTTGCGGTGGTGAGGCGTGTGTCTGTCACCTGTGAGGCCCCGGGGTCAGCTACCAGCACCAGAAAACACACACGAGATAAATCAAAGCCATCTCTTGTTTATTTTGCAAGAGCTCAATGCCCAACATGTGGGTCACACTCTATGTCGTCTAAAAGCAAGAGACAGAGACAGAAGTGGTGTCCTCCTGGCTTAATGTGTGGATGTCACCCAGGGGGTCAATCTACTGGAGAATCCAGACCCGCGTACACAGAACCAGAGATCATCCTATTAATCCTGACAGATGTCACCATCACACTCTTCTTATACTTTAGTTAATAGAGACAGGGTCTCACTGAGTTGCTCAGGGCCTCACTGTTGCCGAGGCTGGCCTCCAACTCATGATCCTCCTGCCTCAGCCTCCTGTTGGTATGACAGGCGTGGGCCACCTCTCCTGGCCAGCCCACTTTAATGGGCTCCTTCAACCTGCTGGACTGGTCTGGTTACCACCCAGATGAGCTTCAAACTGACCAGTGATTTTTTTTAAAATTTTAAATTCCTTTGGGATTTGGAAGGAACTGAAGAAAATACGTAAGTTAACAGGAATTAAGCATTTCCAGGTAAGTCCCTTACAGGCCCCTTCCAGATCCTCGCCACACTTGGCTCCCCTGCCATTCACGGGTGACCTGGAGACGAGTACGACGTGATTAGACATTATCAGCTGTATTTCCTTATTTCCCCTGAACAGTCTTGAAGAAGAGCTGGTTTTCCGGGGGCCACTGCTCCTTGGACTATCTGAGCAGGCTCCTGGGGGCTTTCTGGGCCCGATCACCACAGCACTGACAAGAATTGTCCCTCCTCCCTGGGTGGCCACCTCCGTGCGCCTTCCATAAAGTGGAATCGGTCACCGCCTGGTGGTGGCTGCCTCTGGTCTCGAAGGCCACCTCTGGTAACCCCACACTGAGACGCCTGTCGTCTGTTACTCGGGATCTGCTGGGTCCTGCCGCTGGCCAAGGCTGTGACAGCCTGTGTCACCCACAGCCTGGTTTTCTCTGGCCTGTGATGTGGCCATGTGTGATGATGGGCTCGCCTGACCCTAATCCCAGGGGGGCCTCCCTGATCCCGAGTCGGTGCACTAGGATCCCTTGCGATCTCCGGATCTGCTTGTCCAAGATGAGTGACAGGGTCTTCTTGTGCACCATGAGCCAGGAAGCTCGGGGACAGTTCTGGGGCCACTCTACCGTGGCTTCTGTTCCTCATCTTACCCTCTGCTAGCTACAGGGCTGTTGGTGGGTGGTCTCTCTAGCCTTGGGCGCCTCCTCTAGAAACTGGGGACATAAGAACCTAAATGTCAGAAGATCGTAGAGACAGATAAAGGGGGTAATTTCTTTTTTGGGGGGTTACTAGGGATTGAACCCAGGGGTTCTCGACCCCTGAGCCCCATTCCCAGCCCTATTTTGTACTTTATTATAGACAAGGCCTCGCTGTTGCTGAGGCTGGCCTCCAACTTGTGATCCTCCTGCCTCAGCCTCCAGAGCTGCTGGGATTATAGGCATGGGCCATGGCGCCCGGCTAAGGGCTCCGAGTCACAAGTCACGGCCTTGGCTATTTACCATCTCCCTGGGAGACCTCAGGACTGAGGGTGTGCTGGCTTTGCGCATGACTTTAACAGTTTCTATTTAGAACCTTCAAGTGGTCTGAGCGTGTTTTGTCACTTGCTCAGCAGGTACTCCAACCTGCTATGATGGTGGCCCTCACCGCGTGGCACTCGGGGGCTGGCTCGTGCTCTGGGCACAGATGTGCGTGTCTGTTGGCAACACACAAATGTGCCATCGATTCAGTGACAAGGAGACCATGAAGTAGTACTGGGAACCCTGAGGCACTGGATGTCACACTCACTACCCTGAAGCAGCCGATTCTAGCGGGGGACTCCTTCAGGATCTCTCTGGGCGTCCCAGAGAGGTGACCACTGGGCAGAGAGGTGACCACGTTCTCAGCAGCAAACACTCAGACCTCAGCAGAGCAGAAGGCCACCTCCCAGCCCAGGGCTAAAGGGGAGGGAGGGCTGGATGTCACCAGGGTCCAGAAGGGGACAGTATGTAGAAAACTACTACAAGAGACATCGTCATCACTGTCACCCAACAGAACCCAGCAAGGATGTGGCCACCTGCGCTCACCTCCTGCCAACGCTCCTGCCACCGACGGGGTCTGGCGCCCAGGGACCCTGGGAAGCTGGAGTTGAAGGGGGACGAGGAGGAGCTGGGCTGACCGCGTCCTGCTCTGCGGGGACTGTCCAGCCTCTCTGGACGGCTGGAGCAGAGGCGCCCTGTGGCTGAGACAGACAGGCCCTGTGGGCACAGGGCCCAGCCTGCCCTTGGGAAGCCGCCCGCCAGGCCACAGCTGCCCCAGGGGGGTGCGTGGGGCCCACCCAGGGCTAATGGACCCCTGACCACAAAGACGCTTCGCCCAGATTCCATCGCCACGTGGAGCTTCCACACACTCAGGTGGACGGCTACGCAGGGACCAGGGGACTCTTCTAGGAGGAGGAGTGACACGGACTCAGGCCCTGCCCTCCCACCGCCCCTCCCAACTCCCTTCATGGTGGCCCTTCTGCCTTCACCGTAGCAGCCATGGAAGAGGAGGCAGAAACCTTGTCACCACGATGCCCAGAGATTTTTGTGTGAAAGTGAAAACAATAATTCTAAAGCTCACATCGCTGCCGGGTGCAGTGGCCACGCCTAGAATCTCAGGGGTTTGGGAGGCTGAGGCAGGAGGATCGCAAGGTGGAGGCCAGCCTCAGCAACTGATCGAGGCCCTGAGCAACTCAGGGAGACCCTGTCTCTAAATAAAGTAGAAAATAGGGCTGGGGACGGGGCTCAGGGGTTGAGGGCCCCTGGGGTCAATCCCTGGTACCGTAAATAAATAAATAAATCAGACCACAGATCGACTTTTAAAGCTCAATTCCACCCAAATTCTCCACGGGAACGTGAGAGCTATGACATCAGGGCACAGCTCACCCCTCTGCCAGCCACCGCAGTGCTACTAAGACACATGGTAGGAGGCACAGGCTTGTTGACCTGGCTTCTGTCCCTTCTTGTCCAAGAAGGGACCCGGTGCCTCGGCGGGGGGGGGGGTGGGGACACCGAAGGGCCTGGGGACATGTTACGAAGTTGATTTTTTAATGTCACAATCCACGTGTTCTCAGATGCAAGCAGCAGACGTGGTCGTGACAAAACCTTCGGGGAGGAGCCCACAACCCGTGCGTCCTGTTGTGTCCCTCTCTCGGCAAGCAGAGGCTCCGGTCTGGGGACACACCAGCGTGTGTGTGGAACAGGAGCACGTGCACGGCTTCATGACCATCTGACTTGGCAGTGTCCCCTCACTAGCAGCTCCGCAGAGTGGCATGGGCGCAGGTACCTTCATACTGAGCCCTGGAAGGTTCCACTACGAGATGCAAAGGTGCAACTAGAGGAGGCAACGTCAGCGTGACTAGTGTTAGTTTTTGCTTGTGGAGACATCGAACGACCCTCCAGTAATGTCCAGCTAAGTCCGCGAGGAAGCTTCTTCCTGTCCTTCTGGGCTGGCCCTGGGCTTCTGTCTCATTTCCATTTCTTTCTTTCTTCCCCCCCTTGGGTACCGGGGATTGAACCTGGGGTGCTAACCCCTGAGCCCTGTCCCCAGACCTTTTATTTAGAGACAGGG